AAAATAGAAACCTGAAAAAAAAAAAACAAAAAAAAAAACAAAAAAGTAAAAAAAAGAGCAAAAAAAAAAAACAAAAATAATGTGCGAAAGCAGCAGAAAAGCAAAAAGCAAAAGCAGCAAAGCGATAACACCAAAACAAAAATAGCAAAACAAATCAGTAATGCAAAGGCAGCAAAGCAAAAGCAGTAAAGCGAAAGCAGTAAAGCGAAAACAGCAAAGTGAAAACAACAAAGTAAAAGCAGCAAAGCAAAAGCAGCAAAGTAAAAGCAGTAAAGGTGGCAAAGTAAAGGCAGTAAAGGTGGCAAAAGCAATTAGTAAAAAAAAAAAAGATTATCAAAATATATGATCACTAATTTTATTGGCTAATCATAGAGAGGTGCACAATCGCACAGGTGTATGGAAAATATTTTCTTTTTATTTATTTTGTGATAAATAATTATCAGAAAATTTTTAAAGTGATTGGGCAATTGATTAATATCTAAGAGTAGCAATCAATAAGTAGCAACTCTGCTAATTACTAGTAATATAGATAATAATTAATTGTATAATCAAATTTACTTAGAAACAGGTTAATAATTAGAAGTAATTAAAGTTATAATCGATTAGTAACAAATCTTTTGATTAGAATTTATTTGATGATAATTAATTAACAATTAATATTAATTTTTTAAATTAATAGTATTTACACTATAGCTAATAATCAATATCTACCCTATTTAAAAATTTTCTAATGATATATAATTAATCTTTACTTCTCAAAAACTTGTAAACAAAAAATCTTAACTTAGTTAAATATATTATTTAGAACAAAGAACTATACTTAATTTGTATTATAAAAGTTTTATTAAAAATTTTGTTTTTTTTTTATAATTTAGTAATCCTATCTTTATTTATTTGAGATTAAAACTATTTAAGAAATTATAAAAATTTCTCTCTATAGCTATATTTAATTTAATTAAATAGAAAACTTACCAAGCTTATATCTAATATAATCTATTTTAATAGTTATTAGCTTTTTTTTAGATTCTTAACTTGCTAAAAACTTTTTTCTTTTTAGTTTTTGGCTAGTGGCTATATATCTTATCAGTATTGTCTTACTTTTTAGTAGTAAAAAACAAATACAAATTCAAAGAGCAAGAACAAAAATAAAAAAAAAACTTAATAACTAAAAATGATCTATCTGTATAAATAAAATTAAATAGACAAAAAAAAAAATAAATAAATAAAAAAATACTGATAGCACTATTAAACCTATGCTGAATTATAAAAATTATATAGTACTACTAAATAAACTAGTTTAAACTCTATCCCTTTAACTGTCCAAATAAGCAGGCAAATTTGCCTGCTTAAATTTTATAAATTCATGTCTGATCTATTTTTTTTAAAAAAAA